CAGCAGTAGGTAAGGAGCTGTTCAGATTTGTAGATGACTACCTTGTTTTGGTAAAAAACGATCCGGGTATGAGCACGTTAGTGACTGTTTTAAAATCTTTTAGGAAAAACGGGTGTGGCTTACAGTTTACCTTTGAAGCGCAAAAGGAACGACGCATTCAGTTTTTCTGGACCTAAAAATTATTTTTCCTCCTTTTCACATGTGTTGAATGTATCACCCTAGATCGGAAAAACCATTACTGAGCTATCATTCGGCACATTCGAATATAGTAAAGAATGGGATTGCAACTTCTTGCATCAAAGCTGCCCTCATGAAATCGTGCGTACACTCAATGAAAGAGTGTTTCCGCGCAGATCAAGCGCTTGAGGGGAGCTGGTTACCAAGATGATTGCATCCTTTTGGCCTGCGAGAAGAATCGTCGGGAAGTAAAATATGCAATCATTGGCACAAGCGAAGAGAGGAGACAAGTTGAGGGTGAAAGAGAGCGGACAGTGGTGATCCCGTATGTGCACAATATTTCACATAGGTTGAAAAAAGTTGCATTAAGGTATGGCGTGCGGGTTGTTTTTTAAGCTGAAAACAAATTATCAAAGATTTGTCCAGCAGTAGAAAGGCTAGTCAACAAGAAAGAAACTAGAGAATCGAACAGATGTAGCATAAAGCACAGCAGGAGGTACGTTAAGTGCAAAAAAGATGTATACGGAACTCCTTTCACTTGTGGAAAGGAATACGTTGGTCAGACGGGTCAGTGCATAAATGTGCGCCTTCGTGAACATGAGAGTTCACTAAAGGGGGCCCCTTACTCACACTTTGCGATTCATTGCAAGGAGTGCACCTGCCAACCGAAATTTTCCGACACACGAATAATTGACAGGCACAACAAGCGGACGATGAGAGAAATAATGGTGGCGTATAGAATAAGGAAAGGAGGGGACAGTTGCGTCAGCCAAGCGTCAGTTCTGCTAACAGATGCGGAATTCGATTTCTTGGACGTCACATAACCCAGTGTTTTTCTCTGTGTTACGTTTTGTTTTTTTTTTGTTTCTTTGTTTTTGTCTTTTTTTGTTTTTTCTTGTTTTTTGTTTTGTTTTTTTTACGTTTTCTTTTCTTAGTTCTTGGCACGTGTTTGTTTCCGGTTGTGGGCGCGTGCATATTTTGTTATATCACGTTGTTGATGATGACAGGGGAAGTCGGGAATGACGCACATGCGTGTGATGTATTTATTAGTGTTCGCTTCAAAATAAAATTTTCAGTTGCTAGTAAGCGCTTGTCTGTGTCCTCTCTGAGTGTGTGCATTTTTGCGCTTGTCTCATCAAGATCGTTTCCTCTCTTCAATTTTCAAGTGTAAGTGCGCCTTTACAGCGCATGTGCGTCCGCTCCCCTTCTGTCGCCTCGAAGCGCCGATGCAGTGAGCGTCTGCTAAGTCATGCTCGCTGCCCCATCTCTCCTCTAAGCATTCCTCCCCGCAGCGTTTACATCCTCATTGCGCATGCGCGTTCCCTCCTCTCTCTCTCTTCTTATCCTCTCCCTCTCGCTTCACATCCCCCATGCATGCATCGTCTGCTAGCCAGTTTCTTGATCGGAAAAAAAATCCGATTGCTCACGTTGTTGAACAGTTCACTGGCCACTTTGTACAGGGTAAATTTTTATGAAAGGGAACACGGGAATTATCGGCCTCTTGTGTGATCACCTTGAAGAAGAAAGGGGCTGCAATCTTGCTCCTGCTTTCATATCAGCAATAAATAGTAATTTCGCTCGCCGCGAGATGACGCGAAAAGAGGCTGTGGTTTGAAGCCCCTCTGTGGTTGCTCTCGCTTCCGCTTGAACGCCCTGCAGCCGCCGGAGTGCGCCAGGCCATGCGCTCCCGTGTTCCCTTTCATAAAAAATGACACTGTACATATAGGCACTGGATCTTGCCCACCAAGGTAGTGCCGGCGGAAGGTTTCTCCTGTGCACCGTTCAACGATAAAAATTCGCAGCGTGTGTGTTAACTAAATGTGGACAGCAGGTATTTGTGTCCAATTGAATTAGTCTCTTTCTTATTGCCCATTAGCAGCGATGGGCATGTTCCAGTAAGAATGAAAGGTCCATTCCTGCGTGCTCTGCGCCTACACATGTTCCTCTGCTGCGCAACGTCACGATGAACGGCAGTGCGCACGTCGCTGCCAGTGTAACCCTTAGCACCCTCTTCTTCGCAAGACACCATCGCTTTAGTAGCAGGTGATCCAATTTTTATCCAACCGACGTGCCGTTGTGTAGGCGCACGTTCGCTATCTTTGTTTGCTGGTGTACTTCTATTCAGCAAGTCTAGACTAAGAAGAAAAAAAACCGGTGTTCTTTATAATTTTACCGCGCTGATAATGTGCGAATGTGCCGCGTGTCGTATATGTGGGCCTGTGCGCGTGTCGTCCCATCGTCTTTCTTATACCGTGTCTTTTTTGTGCGCCACAAGTTTTCATGATGTTTCACCGTCAACACGTCCATTCTTACATTCTTTAAATACATCGATTCATACGTGCGAACGCTGTACGTGTTTGGGGCCAGGCTGTGTATGCGGGAATGTGCACGCCGTATGTTTGCACTAAATTTTCTGGAAGACGTGGTGACTCAAGCGTCGTTCTGGGTCTTGTTGAAAAGGGCGACGAAGTGGTCTTTCTTATCACGGTTTCTCACTGTCACACAATGTCATTTCCCCTATGGTTTGTTTAGCCTCTCTTTTTTGACGAGTGTTACTACGGATCCGCACAGGCCGATGAGGTGCGTGTAAAAGCCTGGCGCGCCGCCATACATTGTACTTTTTGCTATGACGTTGTGTCGCTTCTATAAGAGTGTCTTCAGGCCTCCGCCAATGTTTTCAGTAGTGGTTCAGGTTCAGCTCGCCTCTGAAGAAATGTCACTCCATTAGAAGGGTCACTCGAGCTCTACTTGACTTGCGGGGGACCAACACGGTTGGATAGAGGACGTGAAGGTCGCTACCGAGAGCTTTTAAAAGTCAGCTCCAGTCGTCGAGAGCATGGTCAACGTGAACATGAAATCTGGGTTTGTGCTAAGACCATCCTGGTTTGGGATTTATTGTTGAGCAGTGTCGTTTGCTCGAGCTGCTTTTCTGGTCTACCCCCTACGGTGTTCAAATGGCTAAGGCACTCGGCCGCTGGCCTGAAGGTGGCTAGATCACATCTCGGCTGATGAATTTTTGATGGAGGCGAAAATGCTTCAGGTCCATGAGCTTAGATTTCGGTGCACGTTGAAGAACCCCAGGTGGTCGAAATTTCAAGAGCCCTCCACTACGGTGTCTCCCATAATCATTTGATGGTTTCGGGACGTCAAACCTCAACAAATATTATTTGTGGTAGTTTGGTGTCAATTCATGTATGCGGCTTTGAAGCGTCCTGCTATGAAGACTTCATGCCTGCCAGTCTTTTTTTTTAATTACTCGGAAAAGACTCAAACTCTGAAAGGTGGTTCCTCGGGGTTCTGTACACGGACGCTACAAAAGGCCTTTCCAAGTTTTTATTTTTTATAGACATGCCAGAGCTATACTTCTCCACTTCTGCGAGCCATAACAGTTCAAGATAGACGCCTGCCGGGGCTCGTGATGCGTCTTGCCGATCAAACAAGGACTGCTAAAAGCAATGCTAAATTTTAAAGTATACGGGACGAAACTAGGCATGATAATGGGGCACATCGATTTGTGGGGTTTAACATTCCAAAACCACCATATGATTACGAGAGACTCCATAGTGGAGGGGTACGGAAATTTCGAACACCTGAGGTTCTTTAGCGTGCACCCCAATCTGAGTACACGAGCCTACAACATTTCCGCCTCCATCGGAAATGCAGCCGCCACAGCAGAGATTTGATCCCGTGACCTGCGGGTCAGTGCCGAGTACTTTAGCCACTAGACCACCGTGGCGGGGCGATAATGCGGCATATCCTAGTGGCAGACAGAGAAAATATCTTACCCACATGATTGCAAATGTTACTACTTAACGCAAAAAGAAAATTAACAGACATGGTGAAGATTGACTTAGTGACATGGTGAACTTTGAACATTCACTCGCAAAAAAAAAAACGTTTACCAAGAATTTTGACTAAGAAATGAGGTATTTTGCGTAGGACAGGCCGCTGATGGGTGTGTCAATGCTTTGTCGCTAATAAAGTACATATTTCTAATAAAAATAATAAAAATACTCACTAATAAAAGTACAATATTCACTAATATTCACTAATAAAAATAAAATTAATAAAAAAATAAAATATCCTAATAAATAAAATAACAAATAAAATAAATTCACTAAAATATTCACTAATAAAAATACATATTATCTGAAGGAAATCTCCACATTGAACATTACAGTTACAGGCTGGCCGAGTAGGTTGGCATGAGAACAGTTGACAAGATTTGTACCTTTTGGTGGGCGTTTTTGAGTGGCCTTTATTTTTGTTGAGCATCACGTGACATGCGTCTTTTCTGTGACTAAATGCTCAGATGAAGTTTAGCGCCACGTCCTGTGTTTTCACGTTTTGAATTCTTTTTTTCTCTGCTAAGTCGTTATAGTGACTACAGTTCCTATAGGCCAACTCGCTTTCCTTTTTTATAATTCCCAGAGGCTCTTTGACGAGCATCTGCATCTAAGACAAACGATGCTCTGACATGTTGCAGCTAGAAAATTGCGACCGCTGTTGCATGCAATCGACCCCTGACCTTTCGATGAACTGCGCAACATTGTAGGTGCCAAGACAACAATAGCTGAAGTCCTAATATTTCGAGCTTCCCATTACGAACTTCTCAAGTCTTAGGTTAGCGTCAGTCAATTCCAAAAACTGTGGCTATTGTTGATATCTAAGTCTCAACCTCGGCACTGCCTTACTCCTGCTTAGCACCTAATCACATTATCCAACCAAAGCGCACAGGGCAACTACACTGAAATGAGCTGCACGCACGATATCTCTGCCGTGCTCTATGCCAAGCCGGGAACACTGCGAGAACACCGACTCACCGATGATGTAGTCGTACACCTTTTGAAGTTCTAGGGTGTGTATGTTCTCGTATCGTCCCAGCCGGTAGAACATGAGTGCTGCGAGAGGCAGCAACGTGCCAACTTTAGGAAACCAAGAAGCCATCGAATGCTCCGTGTAGTGGCCTCAACTCGTAGTGTCCCCGAAAGAAGAACGTGAAATGTGCGCTGCCTGGGCACTCACGCGACAACTCCCACTATTAACGTCACGTGACTCGGTCAGCGCGAAACCAACGCTGCTAAAGACAGCTCAGCATTACCCCCTCAAGGCAAATATAACAGGTAGAAAAGCTTCCATAGAAAGCCAAACACTCATAAAATAGCGGCTCATCGGCTGCTCATAGGACGCAGCGCCCTCTGTGTGAGGAGGGAACACTTCGCGGTGGAACAAAAATAGAGTGCATGTGACGCAAGAGCTCGTAAATCAGTTATGTCAGTTTGTCTGCACAAGCGCGAAATATGATCCCACACTATTTTTCCTATCCACTCCTGATCGCTAATGACTGGCGCTATGGCAATTGCCGGCAAGATAGATTTCCACGAGTGCGCCTCAAGTTAACGCCAGCTAAACTAACATCAACCTACCTTTAGGTAGTGATGTTTAAGTGTACTAGCTTCCATTCGCCTCAGTTTCACAGGGAAATTTATTCTTGAGACTGTTATTCAGTGTTCATTGCGTCTTCAACAGGTGGATTAAAGCAAGCAGCAGCGTACCTTTCATATTTCCGGCGTAGCTTATTTGCTTCCCACATACGCAGCTTGTTCAGCCTGCACATTGCCTTGTGTTCTTCAGATCTACCGAAAAAAATGACGCCTTGCCATGCCTAAATTATGACATTTCTATTTCAGTCAATGACCACAATAACTATACTTTATTACACTGCTCACAATGAACACCAGATATGGTAATAAGCACAAAAAGTATGCCAACACTAAATGCGCTTTTTGTATTATGCTTCCACAAATTAAAGTTACGTATGCGAATGCATGCGTTCGAGTAATAGTGCGATAACAGCATAGCAATATGCTCACCGATAACACGAATGATAGAATAGGCACTGTGTAGTCAAAAAAGAAACCTCAGGAATATTGCTGCATGAAAGTATAGCGAGCATAGCACTTCGAACCGTTGCTCCGGTTTCTTATCTAGAAGACATGGGAAGCTAGGCGTGCATGTGTTGAAGATGCATCCGTGAACAGTACATCGTTTCCACATGCAGCGAGGTAAGCACTCGGCGTCAAATGTTATCTGCATCATCCCGCTGCCAGTTGAAATTATATCACGGTTGTACTCAAGATGATCACCAACAAAAAAAAAACGCACCTCACACCTTCGCGCTTACCACTACTGAAATTTTCCCCACTCAAATGATCAGAGGACACAAGCTAGTGCAGAACACTTAAGCACGTGAGGTGGTGAGTCATCACAGAAGAATTTTATGAGTGCGTTTTTCCATGCAGCGCAAGAGCTGCACTAAGTATAGTGATGTGTGCAGAGGGCGTCAAATAAGATATTTTTAGATGCGAAGCAGCTCTTTCACTAGCCTGTGTACGCTGTTCCTCTGTACGAATGCGCCGCGCACCGCAGATGTTTGCGCGGTTCCAAGTAGGTCACGCTGCTGCTGCGTGTTGACGTAATTCTCCACTTACAGTGTGCGCTGACGTCACTCTGACCCTCGCCTGCCACGCGCTCGCCATGGCACCCGCAGCTGCTGCCTCTTCCGTTCTCCCTCAACACCTGCCGCCACGGCCGCTTGATACAGCACCGACTCATCGGTTCACGCGCAATAAACATGACGCGCGCGTGACGTACGCGTTGAAACACACAACAACGCCAGCGGCTCTTCGACGCCTACGGACGTCTGGGACTGCCACATGTGAGCCTCGACAACCTCCAGTTTTCCCAGGCCCACCGCTCAAAGGTCATGCAGGCCTTCGAGGCCCTGCTTGATTTTTTCGGTGACGTTGGATGAATGGATGGATGGATGAATGAATGGATATGGTTGTACCATTTAGATCGGGCGGTGGATAGCGCCACCAAGCCGTAATACTTAATGAACCAAAAACTAGATTTATTTTTTCCTTAAATAGTGAGCTTGAGGATTCGTACTTAGCAGCGAAGGGTTTAATTTTCACTCGTGCCTAGACTTTAGCCACCAATCAGATAACCTCCTTCTAGTTAAGTCTACCCGCTTAAAGTCTATTTTGCCCTCACTGTCCCTAAACCTCAGTGCTTTGAATAACTCTGCGCCATCATTCTGAACTATAGGGTGAAGCCCTTTACAGAACATTATCAAGTGTTCGGCAGTTTCGTCTTCCTCTCCACACGCACTGCATACTGTGTCTACCCCTTCGTATTTGGCCCGATATGTCTTGGTTCACAATACTCCCGTTCCTGGCCTCAATACAGTAGAGAACTACCCCGAGTATTATCATAGATCCTTTCCTTGGCAATTTCCTGCTTAAAAGTTCGATAGATCTCTAGTGCGGACTTTTTAAAGATGCCAATTCTCGACATATCAGTCTCAGCTTCCTTCACCTTCTTCTAAACCAATAATTCTTTTTGGTTTGGCCCACTGCTGCTTTCCAAGTATTTACCAGTCAATTTTCTGATTCGCTTCCTCCATTTTGTGTCGACATTCTTCATGTACAAGTAGCTGAATACCTTCCTAGCCCAACGCTCCTCCCCCATTTCTCTCCATCGCTTCTCAAATTTTATCTTGCTGCTAGCTTCCCTGCCCTCAAATGATGTCCATCCCATATCACCTTGTACTCCTGATTTGGTGTATTCCCGTGAGCTCCTAAGGCAAGCCTACCTATTTAACGTTGCTTAATTTCTAATCTTGCTTGAACTTCTGATTTCATGCACAAGACCGCATTGCCGAACGTGAGACCAGGAACCATGACCCCTTTCCAATTTCCTCTCACAACATCATACCTATTGTAATTCCACAATGCCCTGTTTTTCATTACCGCTGCATTCCTGTTGCCTTTAGTCGTCGCGTATGTTTCGTGTTCTCTTAGGTACTCGGCCCCATTGCTTATTCATACGCCCAGATATTTGTATTTATCTGTTATCTTTAGCGTGACCTCCTGTATTCTAAGCTCACTACCTTCATTGTCATTAAAAATCATGACTGCTGATTTTTTCCTACTGAATCTGAAATCTAACCTATCTCCCTCATTACCACAGATGTCCACCAGTCTTTGAAATCTTCCTTGTTGTCGGCCATTAGCACTATATTATCTGCGTACATCAATGCTGGTAGTGCCTGTTCAATGAGTTTTCCTTGTTTCACGAAAGAGAGGTTGAAGCCCAGTCCACTTCCCTCTAATTTGGCCTCTAATCCTTGTAGGTACATCCTGAATAATAAGGGTGACAGGAGACACCCCTGCCTAAGCCTCCGTTTTACCTCTGCAGGCATGGATACCTGTTTTTCCCACTTTATAATTACCTTGTTACCTTGTCTACCTCAGCTGGGTGGTGACCACCCAGCGCGGCAAGAAGACCTCGGGCGGCGCAGAAACACCACTTCAAGTTTCGGCGCCGACACCCGGTAAGAGGGCAGCCCAGCCAACCCGGGCCCTGATTATCAAGAGAGTCAATGTGAACTTCGCGAAGACGGCACGCATGCCTTTCGTGCCGAGAGGCGAGTACAAGATCGTGGTCAGGCCCCGCGGGGGACTACTTCTCGGCAAAGTAATGATGCCGGAACTCGTGCGAGCCATAGCGAGCGCGGCAAAGGTGAACAGCGAGGACATCCATAAGGACACGGTCTGTCCGAACGTGGCCCAGAACATTATCGTAGTGAGCACGCCGGAACAGGCACGGGTCAGCCAATATGCGAGCGTCCGAGCCCTTGGGAATTGGCGGGCGGGCGTATGAGGTGTTCGCTTATGCGGCAGCACCGGAAAACACGGTGAAGGGCGTTATTGGAAGCATCCCCCTCAGCGAGACGCCCGAAATGATCCGAGCAAATGTCGTCAACGACTACAACGACACGGCGCTCGAAGCACACCGCACTGGAACCTCGCACGTGGGGATCGTGCTATTCAACGGTAACAAGGTCCCAGCCTACATGAAGTACTGCGGAGCCTTAATCCGGTACAGGATCTGCAGGCAACACAAGGAAGTGTGTAAAACGTGCAGCCAACTCAGGCACCGCAGAGACGTCTGCCCACGGCCAAACGTGAAGATATGCTTCGAGTGCGGGAAGAGGAACCTCAGTGACGACCACGAGAAGGAGTTAAAGCCCCGCTGCAAACTTTGTGGCGGATCGCACCCCACAGGCAAGGGAAAATGTGCGAACAAGTTCAAGACGCCATTCCTTCCTACTGCGCAAACGCGAGCGCGAACGCAAGACAGTGACCGAAACGGCGGGCAAATCTGGCCAGAGCAAGGTCAGATTTTCCAGAAAGGACGACCCTCCCGCGCTCCCCAAGAGCGCACAGAGGTAGAGAAGTAACAGCTGCAGCGCAGCGAGAGTAGGGTGAGAGCGTGCAGCCGCGAGCGCTCGGCGAACTGCAATAGGCAGCGCAGACTCTTACGCGATCGCGCGTGGACTGACGTCGTCAAAGGCAGAGCCAAGAGCGAAACGAACGCGAAAAAGCGCCAATGCTCGCGCACACCGGCGAGGAAACCGCAGAACGACCCGCTAACAGCCAAGATGTTGCAGCTCGAGAGCACTATCAATCTGATGCAAGAATTCATGAGGCAGCAGCAAGAGATCATAAGACAACAAGCCGAAGTGATCACGAGACTCACCTCGCAACAGCCCCGGTCGGACACGCAGTGGAACGTAAGCGCTCCACCAACCGCGACGCTCACCCTATCGGACACTACGGCTATGCCGCCGCCACCACTGCCACCGCAAAGGACAGACAAGACCCCCAGGCGAAAGAAAGCCCGTCGCAGCACGGTGAATGAGTCGGACGAAGAATAGGACCTGAACATGGACAACGACGCAGACGAAACCGCATCTGTCTCGTCGATCTCAACGCTGCACTCTAGGGCCATAGAGGGCCAGGAAGGACTGAACTGTGGAGCAAGATTCAAGAAAATCTACAACCGAGTAAACAGGCAAGACCGTCGCATTAACGAGATCTCCCAGAAGGTCGACAACGTGGCGTCGGCAATGACCAAGTTCGAAGCAAGGGTAGAAGCCCGCATATTCACGGGCTTCAAAGAGATTAAACTCTTCATGGTCCAACTACTCAAA